GTCTTTAAATATCCCTTTCAACCCAAGCCTCTAGATTATTGTGTTTTTCCATATGATTGACCAGAGCCACTTGTGCTGACCAGTTTATAAATGACTGAACAAGCTAGGGTGGAAGGGACTTCCAGAGTCTATCTAGTCCATCATCCTGCTCAGTTTTGAACATTTCCAAAGATGGAGTTCCACAACTTTTCTAGGCCACTAGTTCCAGTGCTGGACCATAGTCATAGTGGGAAAAAAAAGGTTTGTTATGTTTAACTGGAATTCCCCATGTTCTGCTTTGTGTCTGCTGCCTCTTGTCCTACTGCTACACCTCTAAGAAGTGTCTGGCTCTGTCTTCTCCATGCCCTCCATTTAGGCGGCTGAAGACAGCAGTAAGGTCCTCCCAAAGCATTCTCCTAAGACCTGAACAAACTCAGGTATGTCAACTGCAGCTTTTTAGTCACCTTGGTGGCCTGTTGCTCTCATTCCAGTCATCAGTGCATCCCACAGCAGAACTCTAATTAGGGTTTTCACCTTATTTTTCCCCCTTTCGGAACAGAGAAATGTAGTGTGCATGTTTTCTGTCACTAAAGAGAAGCAGCATTTGAGATAAATAGTCTGATGGTTTCATACTAACAACTTTGATTTTTACCTACAGTGCAGGTAATCTGAAATACTGTAGCATGTAACCACAAATACTGTCTTGTCATAATTTTGCAGAAGCAGTCATACAGGGATTGCTAGGTGCTTTTTTTGTCTACAGTTAAAACAAGTGTTGGGTTTGGAATTCTCTTATCCTTTTTTTTCTACCAAATTACTCAACAAGCAATGTAGGAATGAACAACACAGCAGCAGCTAATCTTTCACTCCGCATTGCTTAAGATGTCAGCACACGTTTTTGCTTGCACTTGAGAAATTATAAGCTCACGTGGCTTCTCATACCACAAGCACTGCTTTCTGACACCGTTTTCTTCATTTGTAGTGAATGCATTTCTGTTAATGCTGAAAATAAATCTCCTTTGTGTGCACTTTTAAGGCTACAACTGAAGCCTAAAAAATTGCTTTGAGTTTTAAAACCAACCCACAGCTTTGCTTTTCAGTCCAGCTGTCAATAATGTCACTAAGAACTGCTTAGCAAAAAATGTGTGCCCTTAAAACTGTGCTTCAGAGCTGCTCTCTTCAGTGTCTTTACTCCTTAGCTAAAATAAACACCTTAGCTCTCATTTCCCTGCACAGGATAATCTTAGCAAATCCATCCCATTGCTTACTATATTAAAATGAGGTTAGGATTTTGGACTTAAATGCAGGGAAAATAGGTAACTACTGAAAGATCCGCTTTTGTGAGCAATTAACAGAGTTTTATGTTGAGGCCACTACATTTGTGAGTTTCTCAGTGCATGTGACCTCTAAAGTGATTTTACTATTCTTTCAAATGCAAGTTTATGAAAAACTGCCTTTTTTTTTTTTTTTTTTTTTTGCTGAAGGTTTTGACAGATTCCCCAGGTGAAACTTTAAGCAAATTCCCATGGGGTTCCCACTCTGCTGAAGTGTATGCCTGGCTATTGTGTGTGTGCTTACCCTCCTTCCTAATTATGTTCATGCTGGAGCTGTAAATGACACTCAACCTCAGCAATCTAAAGTTCAAAAGGGTATGCAGTTCTGTGTCCAGGAGCTGAGATGCTGTCTCTGTGTGCCTTCTGTTTTTGACAGATGAATATGAGAGCATTCATATGAGCTGTGAAAACAAATTAGGAAAAGCTTCAGCTTCACAGGTTGGTTTTGCAGGTTTTTTTGTTTGTTTGTTTGTTTTAGTTTGGTTTTGTATTTGTTTTATGCTCTTTGGTGCTCAGAGGGACAACCAGGGGAGGGGTTTTACAGCAGTGCAAGAAGAGTTGTCGACTATCTCATGAGAAGCTCTTGTAAACTGAATGTTTATGTTTAGGCTGAAGCTGGGGATGGTGAGCCTGGCATCGATCTTGTCAGTTGTTCAGGAAAGAGTCTGGCTTGCTACCTGCAGTAAAACTATTGCTTTCCAATTCTCCTCCTTTTCGAGGTCCTTTTCAAGAGTGGAACTAGTGATGCTGTACTTCCCACAGCTGTGGTGTAAGGACCTCTTTCAGCCATGCTTCAGGGGTTTGATGAGGCTGCTTCTCCCAGGCCTGTGGTTCTATTAGCTGTGGGAGTCCTACACAATCCTTCATCCATTTTCAGATCTTCCATAAAAAGATGGTGAACAATGAATGTTTTTTTACAACAGGTGGACCACTGCTCATCTCTGGCCCAGGCAATTCTTCCCAATGGAAAAAAAAATCCAGGCATATTCTAAATGTAACAGCATCTCCAGCATCTCACTGCGGTATGCTTGCCACTATTTCCTGGCTAGTATTTTAATCCCACCAAACTGAAGTTACTATTGAAGTAAGTTCATTCCTAGAGGGCACTTCTCCTGGTCCTCCCCATTCTTGAAGATCACCATGTTGTTTGCTTTGACTGCTGGCTGGTAACAGCAGCATTTCCTCCACAAAGTACTTATCTGACAGCAGCTGGTACAAAGCAACAGTGGTTGCTTTCCTTCACAGCACGCCCTTGTGGTTCAGCAGCTCTAGCAGAGGAGCTGTGCAGCATTTCCACTCCACCTATTTGCTATGAAGCTCTTTTGTATTTGTGTCTTCAACAAGTGTTAGTCTTTCCCCAGCTTCTAGCTGGGCACTGCTGCAGTCGTTGGGCTGTCCTACTGCTACTGGGTGCCCCTTCCAGTTTTCCTGCCTGCATATCTTCATTTCAGCCTGGAGAATAGAAGGCTGAGAGGTGACTTGATAGCGGCCTTTCAGTATCTAAAAGGGAGCTACAGGAAAGAAGGGGAAAGACTCTTTAGCAGTGTCTGTGGTAATAGGACAAGGGGACATGGCTTCAAGCTCAAAGAGGGTAGATTTAGGTTAGATTTAAGGAAGAAATCTTTTACAGTGAGGGTAATGAGGCACTGGAACAAGTTGCCCAGAGATGTGGTTGATGCCCCATCCTTGGGAACATTCAAGGCAAGGCTGGATCAGGCCCTGAACAATCTGACTTAGTTGTGCATGTCTCTGTTCATTGCAGGGGAGCTGGACTAGATGATCTTTGAAGGTCCCTTCCAACTCCAGGGATTCTATGATTCTATGAGGCAGCTCTCACTCAGTGTTGTGGACAAATCCCATCTGCCCCTCTCTCAGTGTCTCCTCAACGCTGTCTTGGACTAAAAGGAGCTGCAGTGGCAGCAGGCACAACTGGTGAAAACACCTTGGAAGAGCAAGCTGTCAGAACCAGGAAGGGAAGCTTGGGCTTGTGCATGCATTTCAAAGATCTCCATGTTTCCAAGAACATCAGCTGCACGGTCTGTGAAAGGATCATCTTTTCAATGTGCTGTACACTGCATGCACCTGCCACTCTCTCCCTCACTGTAATTCCCAGTCTCAGGTGAGCACAGGGCTGTGTGAGCAAACTGCTCCATGAGCTTTTAGCTCCCACAAGCCATTCACAAGCCATGAAAGTACTGTCACTAAGCTTCCAAAACAGTATCATATATATTTATGTATTTATTTATTTAGAAAATAAAGAAAAAGGAATAGGAATCAGTCTTATCTATGCATGGAATTAAATTTCAGGAACAGTGAGTGTAAATTTAAGCACACTTACGAAATAATGACATCAATTTTTTGTTTCAAAATAGTATACGGTTGATTGCTTTGGTTTTAGTTTTTATGTTTTGTAGTGCGACAAGAAGGAAGGAGGCATTTTAAAAGCCCAAACTTCAGTATGTGTATCAAGGTAAATATAGAGAATTATGGAGACAAAGAGAATATTTTCTGAAGTGTATCTTAGTTTATATTTGACTCTGGGTATGTTGCTTAACTTTGGGCTTTAAATAGGGCTACTACAGAAGTTTGGCTGGAGCACAAGCTGTATGATCATTCTACTAAAATTAGGCTCTGCTTGTCACAGGCTGCAGAAGCTTTGGAGCCATCATGCTGGCCTGAGGCAGGAGAAAGAAAAGAGCTCCCTTTTCCGATTCCTTTTCCTTGATTCTCTTTCCTCATGGAATCTAACAAACAGCTGTAGTTGAATCCTCCAATGTGCTGTGTTTAGTTAGAGTCATATCTCAGCTTGTTCTCTGTCACCCTTTGTGTGAGTAGTGTAAATTAAAGCCCTGTCTCTATATGGGATTTTAATATGGCAAAAGTGATATTTTTTCCTATTGGAAACATGAAAAAGCTAATAGCTTCCTCTGTAACATGCGACCCAGCACAAGTGAAACAGCAGCAACTCCAGCTGAACCCATGGCCATCCCACAGACTGCATTTGTGTTGGATGGATGATTTAGCAGAAAGTGACCAGACGTGCGAGGGCAGCAGAAAACTTTGCTGTGACAGCCACGACCCCTCCAGAACTGCTTTGTGGATGCACTGTGCTGTGTTCAGCATGGGAACCGTGATCTCACATGCCGCTGCAGCGTGCTGCTGGGAGCTCCCTTGGGGCAGATGCTTCTTTATCAAGGGTGGTACTAAGCTGTAGATCTCACTGCTGTGGGACTTTTCCATTTGGACAAGAGATAAATAAATGCATACTGAAAAGATCCACTGAGGGGGAACTGAGTGCTGAGGTACTGCAAAACCCCAACGCAGCAGCTGGCCGCAGGCTGGGAGGGCAATGGGGAAGCAGCAGTGCTGTGTTTGCTCCCCCGTGCACCTTTTGCTGGGCATCTGCTGTCAGCCACTGTCAGGATCAGGATTCTCATCCCAGGACAATCCTTTAAATGCTGCAGCACTCAGGGGATCAGTAACAAGATCTAGGCGCCAGCTCCTGCAGTTCTGTAAGCATGTGTTGCATGTCATCCACTTTTTCTTTCTCCTCAGTAAAAAGAGAAATTGGGCATTCCCTAACTTTCTGTAGAGTTCTACAGGATGTATGCGTGCTGCAGGAAGGCTCTGCCCCCCCACCCCCTTCCCTTTCCACCCTCCTTTCCCCCCCTCCTTGCTGTGTTGCCATGGTGCTGGGCCCTGTTGACAAAGAGTTGCTATGGATGGTGAGTGGCTGCCCTTGGTGGTGGAGGTGACCGGCTTGCTCCAGGACCCAGCTTTCCACGTAGCCAAGTGCGCAGCAGAGGTAACTGGGATCAGTGGGGAGTATTGGAATGAATGGAATTGGGGTGGGAGGGCCTGGGAGCCCCAGGGATGCTCCACGGAGCTGAGTATAGCTGAACAGTCCCACATAACACACAGTAGAGCCATGCACAATGAAGTCCTGCCTTGTCCCACATCCTCGCCCCTGGGCTCAGTCACCTACAGGACTGCAGCTGTTAAAATGCATGCTGATGATGCTCAGATATCTTTGAATGTCTTGCTGCTTGCAACTATCTCATGTGGCAGAGGAGGAGAGTGTAATTCATATCTGTGAAGCAGACATTTTTACAAAATCTCCCACAACATTTGTGAGCAGGTGTTCAGAGCAGTTTGTGCTTCTGCAGGTGCCAGGAATTACGCCAGTGCAGGACGGGTGTAATGCAATCATTGGACTTACTGAGGATTTGGCTTAGGTTGTAATTAATTAGGGAAGTGCAAGCATGGATAGGATGGATGGGTGGAGCTATTATACTGCTTGTAAGCAATCTGTTTTTCCACATTTGGTATATCTAGGCGCTGAAGCTGAAGTTTCCAAGCAAGTTTGCAGATCCTGTAGTACATCCTTTATTAGAATTTGCATGGAATGAATATTTACAGAAGAAAAAGAAGGTAACTCTTACAACTATTAGATAGCTGCATGTCTGTAATTAAGTAGATCTTGGCTTATGAGTAATAGAAAATCCTGAGTTGGAACGGACTGTATGGATCATTAAGTCCAACTTCTGGCTCCACACGGGACTCCCTAAAAATGAAAATATATGTCTGAGCATGCTGTGCAGGAGATTCTTCAACTCCAGCAAGCTCCGCGTTATGACCAGCCTGGGTAGCCTGGCAGCATGTTCTGTGCCTGATCACCTTCTCATGAAGAAGCTCTTCCTAACACCCAGCATGACTCTGCCCTAACGCAGCTCCATGCCGTTTTCCTAGGTCTTGTCCCTAGAAAGGTAAAAGTCCAGCTTAAATTCAACCTGGCCACTGTAGTAAAAGAACAAAAACCTTTTTTACAAATATATTAACAGTAAGATGAGGGCTAAGGAGAGAAAATCTGTCTTCTACTGGATGTGGCAGGGAACGTGACCACTGAGGATCAGAAAAAGGCTGAGGTTCTCAATGCCTTCTTTAGATCTGTCTTTAAAAGTCAGACCAGTTATCCTCAGGATACTCTACCTCCTGGCCTGGAAGTCTGGGATGGGGGGCAGAATAAACCACACTCGATTCAGGTGGAAACAGTTAGAGACCTACTACTCCTTCTGGTGGAGTGATTCCCAAGCAGCTTTCTACCATCTGTCAACATTCTTGGTCAGACAGAGAGATCCCAGAGGATTGGAGGCTTGCCAATGTGACTCCTATCTGCAAGAAGGGTCATAAGGAGGATCCAGGGAACTATAGGCCTGTCAGCCTGGTACTGACCTCAGTACCAGGAAAGGCTATGGAGCAGATGATCTTGAGCAAGATCACGCAGCATGTGTGGGACAACTGGGGGATCAGGCCCAGCCAGAATGGGTTCACAAAATCAAGATCTTGCCTGACCAGCCTGATCTCCTTCTCTACTTCTGTGATTGAGTGACCCACCTGGTGGATGAGGGAAAGGCTGCTGACACAGTCTACCTAGGCTTCAGCAAAGCCTTTGATGCTGTCTCCCACAGTATTCTGTTGGAGAAGCTGGCAGCCCTGGATGAGTGCGCCCTCAGTTTAAGTTTGCAGATAACACCAAGTTGGGAGGAAGCGTCATCTGCCTGAGGGTAGAAAGGCCCTTCAGAGCCTGGACAGGCTGGATCACTGGGCTTAGGCCAGTTGGGATGAAGTTCAAAAAGACCAAGTGCTGGGTTCTGCACTTTGGCCACAACAACCCTGATTAACACTACAGGCTGGGGGCAGAGTGGCTGGAAGACTGTGAGGAGAAAGTGGACTTGGGGCTGTTGGTCAATGCGTGGCTGAACATGAGCCAGCAGTGTGCCCAGGTGGCCAAGAAGGCCATCGGCATCCTGGCTTGTATCAGAAATAGTTTTGCCAGCAGGAAGGGGACTGTCCCTCTGTACTCAGCTCTGGTGAGGCTGCACTTCGATTACTGTGTTCAGTTCTAGGCCCCTCATTACAAGAAAGACACTGAGGTCCTGGAGCATGTCCAGAGAAGGGCAATGAAGCTGGTGAGAGGTCTGAAGCACAAGTCTTATGAGGAACAGCTGAGGGAATTAGGATTGTTCAGTCCAATGATGAGGAGGCTCAGGGGAAGACTTTATTGCTTTCTACAGCTCCCTGAAAGGAGGCTGTGGTGAGGTGGGAGTTGGCCTCTTCTCCCACAAAACTAGTGATAGGACAAGAGGGAACGGCCTCAAGTTGAGCCAGGGGAAGTTCAGGATGGTTATTAGGAAAAAAATTTTCTCCAAAAGAGCTGTCAGGTGATGGAAAGGACTGCCCAGGGAGGTGGTAGAGTCACCATCCCTGGAGGTGTTCCAAGACATTTTCAGATGTTGTACTAAAGGACATTTTTGAGTGGGGAAATATTGGTGGTAGGTGGATGGTTGGACTGGATGATCTTTGAGGTCTTTTCCAACCTTGGTCATACTATGATTCTAACAGCTCAGCTGTGCCCCTCCAGTCCCTGTGAGGAGCTATAGGCCACCATTTGCCCCCCCCTCCATCTCTTCTGCTCTGGGCCAAACAAACCAAGAGATCTCAGCTACTCCTTGCTTTACTCCTTGCCTCAGTTGCCCAGCTGCCGTGCCAGCTTTCCCATCCAGCACACCTCACCAAAACCGCTGCAGATTCTCTGGATTAGCAAGATTTATGAGTTCAAAAGTAGGAGAAGCACAAAAATACCACAGGGAACTTTACCTTGTTTGTACAGCATTACCAATTGCATCTTTACTAAATGTGAAAATAACCCCTTGAGGCTCTGTGCTCTCCCTCTTCCATGCAGGAGCTGAGAGGCGAGGTGTGGGGATACGCCTCCTGCGTGATGTGCTTTGTTAATGGAAGGCTGCTGGGCGATGAGAAGGAGTTGCTCAAGTGGGCCTACTGCAAATGGGGCTACCACGATTTTAAGCCTGAGGCCCTTTACCAAGCAATCACGGAGGATTTCTACACCAAACACCTGAAGAGCAGCCAGGCAAGTAACGTGGTTTTACAAGAGTGCGAGGTGTGTTAACCAACTGAGTGTATCATCACAGAATCTCAGAATTGTAGGGGTTGGAAGATACCTGTGGAGATCACTGAGTACAACTCTCTGCTAAAAGCAGGTTCCCTACAGTAGGTTCCCCAGGAAAGTGTCCAGGTGAGTCTTGAACATCTTCAGAGAAGGAGACTCCACAGCCTCTCTGGGCAGCCTGCTCCAGTGTTCTGTCACTCTCACAGTAAAGAAGTTTTTCCTCACGTTCATATGGAAAGTTCTGTGTTCCAATTTGTGCCTGTTGTCCCTTGTCCTGTCACTGTGTACCACCAAAAAAAGCCCCGACTCATCCACTTGACTCCTGCCCTTTAGATATTTACAAGCATTGATAAGATCCTCCCTCAGTCTTCTTTTCTCCAGGCTGAAAAGTCCCATGTCTCTCAGCTTTTCTACATAAAGGAGATGCTCCAGATCCCTTATCATCTTTGTGGCCCTCCACTGGACTCTCTCTAGAAGTTCCCAGCCTTCTTCAACTGGGAAGCCCAGAAGTGGACACTGTATTCCAGATAAAACACAGTACTCAGTTGAAGCACAGCAAATATCATACTGATTCCATGTGGATTTGAGAATTAAGGGCAGTGATCAAGAACTGTCCCTCTTGGTGGGGTGATGGCTGTTCTTGCTAATTCACTTATCCTGCCCATATCATATCCTGCCCAGGGAGGTGGTGGAGTCGCCGTTCCTGGCAGTGTTCAAGAGGCGCCTGGATGAGGAGCTGCGAGATGTGGTTCATTGCTTGTGGTACTAATAGGAATGGGAGGGTGGTTGGACTAGATGATCTTGCAGGTCGTTTCCAACCTTGTGATTCTGTGATTCTGTGATTCTGTGATATGGGCCACAACAGGCACACAAACAAGTACAGGGTGAAGATGGCTCTAACACTGCAGGATTATTTCTGCCCAGAAGAGTGAAACATCCTTTGCCTCTTTGTTTGTTTAAACAAAGCAATAGGAATATGGTTCTGTGCTGACCATCCCACAGACATGCTGGGATGGCTCACACTGAGCTGCTGGCATTGACCTGCGTTAGAAAGGAAGGGCTACACTGAAAGTTGGCCTTCACCTCACTGGATTTGTTTTTCTGGCTCAAACAGCACGTTTGTGTATTTGGACATAACCATTGAGGAGCAGCCCATTGGGACACTTCTGTTTGAGGTAAGTGGCTGAGTAGAACAGCAAAAGCAAAGAGTAAAGATACCAAACATTGGTTTTTCACTTCCTGAGGGAAAGGAGGCTGAAATCTGGACAGCTGATGTCAGTTATGAATTTCATATTTTTTCTCTCATACTCATTTTACAGCTCTTTTCTGATGTATGCCCCAAAACCTGTGAGAATTTCCGTGCTCTGTGTGAAGGAGGAGTGATGTCTGCCAGCAGTGGTCAAGAGCTCACTTACAAAAATTCCTATTTTCATCGGTTTGTAAAACCCGTGTGGATCCAAGGAGGAGGTGCATTTCCAAATGTCCTGAGTAAATTTGGGTCACAGCAGAACTGGGACAGGATGACCAGCATGGGTTATAGTCCAAGCAGATGTAACCGAACTAAAGCTAATGTCTTATTAAGAGCAGGATAAGATTTTAATACATATGAAAACTGGAAAGTATTTTCTCCTTTAGCCATCTCACTCTCTAAATAGAGGAAATGTATAGATAACTTGTTCTTTTTATTATTCAACACTTCTTCAAAAGATCTTTCACTAAGTACTTAGAAAACTAAATGAAAACGTTAAAACACTAGGAATAGCCACAGGAAAACATATTACTTGTTTTATTGAGAGATTAACTTATGAAGGCACTTAGTCAAGTCTCAGAGCCACGTCAGACATGCTGGTGAGCTGCTTGAGCAGCAGAGCCATGCCTGGAGTCAGGCACTGCGTACAGAGGAGAAAGGCACTGTGAAGATCTCGTAACAGAGGCTGTCTGACACCCTGAGAGAGGACAAGATACAGAGCTGTATCAGAAGAGATTGCCTTCGTTACTCACTCCCCTTTGGTCAATCATCTGTCTTACCTACCTGTATTTCTTACCCACGTTTGCCCTGCTACTCCAAGTGAGACTGCTCAAATCCATTTTTAGTTTATACTTTGAAGATGAACTTTAAAAGTCCAAGAATGTCTAAGCAGCTATCTATGTAGTCCACAAAGCAACCTAAAATTATTGCCTTGCCCATCAGAAATCTTTTTCCATTTCTCTTTTACCAAATCATTTTTCTCAGGCAAGTTAGCAGTATTCATCTGCCATAACATCATAGCTGCATTTTCCCCCTTCCTTGCTCTAACCCCACTCACTGAAACCGATGCCCTTCTCCCAGCCTGCCCCTACCTTGGCTGATGCAGTGATCCATAAAAAGTTCTCCCAAAAAGTCTGTTAAAATGTTGGTATTAAAAGAGTAATTTTGGCTTCCCTGGAAGATGAGCAACTCATGTCTCCAAGCTCTCCTGGAGCCATTCAGATAACCCTGAGCTATGCCCGTGATCCACCTGACCTCTGATTGTTACTCCATGTCTACCCAACAGACATAACTGGGAAAGGAGATGGAGGAGAGTCAATTTATGGTCCCACATTTGAAGGTACGTTCTCTAAATTACCTCTCTGCACAAATGTCAAATTTCAACAAAAATCAAGCTGTTTATCCAATCTTACAGAATAACCTGAGGATTTCCCTTTGTTTCCCTAGAGCAAATGGTTTGATTTTCAGTGAGATTTTGGCTTAAGAACTGACTTGTAGTCTTGGTCCCTGCGCTGGATGCTCAGCTCCACCAGTCCTTTTCCCCACCAAAATCAGGGCAGAGGGTCACCTGCCTGCCTGCTTCAAACTGCAAACGCTCACACAGAAGTGGATTAGCTGCCGATCTTCAGGCAGCTGATACCTTTTGCTTAAATATGTTTAAAGTAATGGAAGTGAGTTGGCTTTAACTCCAGATTTCCTGGATGTCAGGCAGATTTTAAGGCCAGGGCACACCACATGCATTGCCACTATCAGTTCTGCAGCTCCAAATGTGAATTACTTCTGAATCCAACTGAATGTAGAATGCCTATAAGGCTGTGAAGGTTGGGAAATGACAGGTGTGAGCAAATTTAACAATAAGTGTTCCCCCTGCTGATAGGAAGTAATTAGATATAAGGAAAAAAGAACATTATTACATGCAATATTTAAGAAAAATAATCCATGTAATTGACATAGACATTTGGGATATTCTGTTTGGATTAAATGCTACCCATAAAGACATTTTAGGTCAGCTACAGCGCTTCTGAAACTGATTTATGTTCTCTTATGTAAAAGCTTTCTTACTGACAGCGTCACTACCAATGTTACACTTGAGCAGGCTGGGCAGCAGCCAGCAGTGAGATCAGAAGTGCCAAGTGTCGCTGAAAACTTTATTTTCAAAGGCAGCGAAGAGCCCACTTCCACCTGGAGGCTATGGGACCAAGCCAAAGCAGGCTGGAATTGAGTAGCCAGGCAGGTTTGAGCTCTGCTGCCCAGGGCTCTGGTTCTTCTCCTTTTTCTGTAAAAGCTGCACATTGCTTTTCATCCCCTAGCAAGGTGTTCACTTGGGTATGCCTATTTTAAGGCTTAGATTGCTTTCCGAGTTCCTCCTGCCAAACTATTTACACAGAGGGCAGAGGACAAATATCTTTGATATATGCAAGCAGTGACAGATGCCTCTGTCAGATGGTGAAACTTTTCTGCAAAACTGGGTGGCTGGCACGCCTCCATTCACTGCAATGCCTGCTGAAATTAATGGGACGCAGCTACATTTTACTGTGACAAGCTCAAAGTACTGAGGTAATTACAGAGAATCACTTGGACAGGAGAGCCATGTCATAGCACAAAGCATTCTAATCCAAAATTAGACTGCTGAAGATGTTTTGCAAACCACAAGTCAGCACTCAGGGAGTAACAATTCAGTTAACATTTAATTACCGTTTTTATGAATCAGCTTCGGAGAAAGGGTAAAAATTATTTTTAAAAATGATAAAATCCAAATATTTTAATTGGCTTCTTTGCTTGCTTGAGAACTGAATATTAGTGGGAAGATGCTTCAAGGAAGGACATTGGTTCATACCAGACTTTACTAACACTTGTCTTGATGAGGGGCCTTTGTAGAAAAAGGAAAAGGGCGAGTGGGAAAGAAAGACATGGGGGGTTATGTAAGCTGGAAGCAAAGAGGAACAGAGAAAGCAGTACAGATTCTGCCTTTTATCCCTGAACTCTTTTCCCAGATGAAAACTTTGCCATCCCTCACAAGGGAAGAGGAGTCCTTGGGATGGCTAACAAGGGCCGCCACAGCAATGGCTCCCAGTTCTACATCACGCTCCAGCCAGTTCCCTACCTGGACAAAAAATGTGTGGCTTTTGGGTATGTATGCCCAAGCTTGCATCTGCTGCAGCACATAGGTTACCCTAGCTCTGCAGAACATGGCAACTGCAACATGGATATCTCTGGCCAGGGAGAGGATGGATAAGTCACATTTGATGTGTCTAGTGACACCCTTTTTTCCATTTATTTGCCCTGGCCTGGCTTAATCAAGCTGGAAAACCCAATGGCAAAGCTAAGAGAGCTGCTGGAATCTCTCAAGGACAAAGGCTGCAAAGAGGTGCTTGCATAGCTTGGTGTCAGCTGAAGGTGTGTCCTAATGGGCTTGGAGCAAAGCCTCTAGTTTCTGCTCAGCCCTCGTGGCCAAGATAAATTGTTTTAGTGAATGTCAGTCTCAATAAATTAATGCAGGGCTGGCTCTGTTGGGAATTTCAGCTTTTCATAAATGTAATGAGGATGATCATTGCTCTGTGCAGTTTGCTTCAGAAAGAGAAATCTGCTGTGCTGCTTTCATGTCGCTGTTACAGATAGTATTTTGGAAGGACATGAAAAGCATGACTGCCTAAGCTACAGTGAACAAGCCAGGTTGGTGGCTGGCTAGATAGATTTCCAACCCATGGTGTTTACCTTCAATTCCTGCCTTGCCACCAGCTGTGTAATCTGGAAGGTGCAGCATCCTTGAGCACAATTGACCTCTGTTACGAGGCTAATCTCTGCAGGACAAGCTCTTAATTAACATATAGAAAAACTGGAAAACATTTTCTCTTGTAGCCATCTCACTTTCAAAACAGAGGAAAAGTTCAGATAAATTGTGCTTTTAATTATCTAAGCCTTTTTCAAAAGATCTTGAAAACTGTAAAGATTGCAGAATGTTGGACTGTTTTCAAGGATTCAGGTTGGCATTGCAAAGGGAGGAAATGAAAGGTATTTCTCAGGGAAACACTTCCAATAACTGTCACTTCTGATAACATAGTTTTTTACTTCTTTCTCCTCAAAATTAATGGTCATTCGTAGCTGGTACAAGACTTGTTTCTTTAAATAAATGTAACTGCCATAACTCAGTATTTTCATATCCCTTAAAAAGCTAAACAGCAACTATTTTATCAAGAACCAATGGTGTTTTTTACCCCATTGTGAAGAATAAAGAGCAGAGCCCGCCTGGCTTTGTTATGGTGGCTGCAGAGCTGGCTTCAGGGACAGGGGATACTGCTCAGGCAGCAAAGGTGGATCAAAGCTGCTATTCCTCCCTACTGCAGGCAACTGATTGAGGGCACAGAGGTTCTCCAGCAACTGGAAACTGTACCGACGTATAATGAAAGGCCCAGAGTGGCCTGCAAAGTTACAAAGTGTGGGACTTTCCAGCCATGATCACCAACTGGTTTGCAGCAAGGTAGAGCACTGATTTCTGCTCAGCTTTTTACAGACCTTGACGGCTTTCATGTAAGATAAAATAAACACTTCTCGCAAATGTGAATGTGTTGGAATCGTCATTTTGACTCAGTTTAAAACGTGTTTGTAGGCTGTTAAGAGCACTTTTATATGAGTATAGAGAAAAAAATGTGAACATGAAGTATAGAAAAAGACTTCTGCCAGTCTACAGTTTCTGGATAATAGCTTAGTATGATTATATAGTGACAGGCAGACACAATACTGCTGGAACACTTGCAGAGGGATAAAGCCAACCAATCTTGGCTAAATTCTACCTCTATCACCAACCTCCACACAGCACAAAGTGCAGCTCAGGGCACCACTGCCAGCACAGCTCTGACTTGAAGTGTAGCCTACATGCTGTAACTCAGATATATCAGAGAAAGGCAGAAAAAAGTGTTTGCAGGACTGAGGTATCTCTGAATGCCAGACATTTGACCCTGCAGCGACTGCTGTGAGCTAAAATAAACACCTTTGAAATCAGGCTGAGCTACTTCAGGCAAAAATGAGAAATGTTAAAACAGGTGTAAGTTTCAAGTGATTATTTTTGATTAAAGTCATTATTGTCACTAAACCAGAGTAAAATCTTGTTTATAAAGTTACTGCACAGAAGGAAATTTTAAGGTTACCTGTGGAGGAAAATACGTAATACACAACTGATTGCTGATGTTGATGATCTCATACATGCAAGATGTCTCTCATGATCTGTGCAGAACCCGGGTGCTGGTGGTCTCAGCAGGGAATGGCAAAGAAGCACTAAAAGAAGAAAATGAAAATGCAGCCTGGAAAGAGGCCACAAGGAAGTGCAGAGGAAGCTCATAGGAAAGAACAGCAACTCTGAGAGCTGTATCAGGGCTGTGCAGACACGGTCAGCTTACTGATCTCCAGCCTGTATTTCCAGCACCACACAGAGACTGTGCCAGGGGGAGCGACCTTTGCTCCTGCACTGAGCTCTCTGTGTGAGCTGTTCAAATCTGCAAAACGAGGCCATCCAAGTTGGGAGAGGTGGAATTAGCAAAGTATGAGGAGAAACCCATTTTTTGTCTGAGCTTAAGATGAGACTTCAGGAAAAGCAGCATTCTGATGCTTCTTTCCTAAATGGGGATGAATTTAACAAATTGCTTAGCAAGTTGGTTAACCTAGTGCTTGAAGAGCCCGCAGACCTACAGTGATCCCACATGCTTTGAGGGAGCATAATGAACACCTTCACTTTAGCAAGGGGATTCAGGTTTTTCTTCAGTTATTGTGAGAAACAAAAATTTAAAATATACAGACATGTCTGCAGATGGCTAAGGAGCTGTCAACACATTTTCTTCTTTTATTCTCTAAATAATTCTGAAACCTATACATAGACCGCTGCAGAGGAACTAAGTTAACTGTAGGCAATTTTCAAATCAAACTGCCTGGAGAATAATTATTTTTACTTCAAAGTCCTGTGGCAAAGGTGAAAATAAACAAAATAGAACAGTATATTTCCTAACAAATTTCTTTTCATGAGCAGTGGAGAAAATGCTGTGACAGGGTACAGCTTCAAAACTCAGTATGGGGATGCAGATTAACAGCTCCTATTTTTTGCAAGGACTTTAAATCATATGCACGTCTGAAGGTGAAAGAAAAGTCATTTTAGTTCTTCTGCAGGTTATAGAAGAAAATTCTAAAAGGACAATTCGTCAACTTCTTATTTGAAGACAAGTCATTTGTTACGTTTCTGTTTACTTGGCTTTTGCATTGAGACCTGTCTACAGCGCTCTTACTGAACTACTTCAAACTTTCAGTAGGCTGTATCCAGAGGGCACAGGAAAAGTTCTCTACTGCTGTCTGGCTTGCTTGTGGCAGGTCTGCTCTGCAGCATGGCTGCACCACTGTGTCCCCACTGTCCCCACAAGAGCCTGAACCAGAGCACACAGTGTGCTTCAAGTCCAAAGGACCTGACCTGAGCAGCAGTCGGGGCACAGCAACACTGCTCTGGAGACGGGCAGTGTTTGGCATCCCACAGGGTAGCAAAGGCCTGCTCACATCAGGCATCAGAAAGCTGATCCTTTGCCAAAGAACATCAATCTGACAAAAAAGTACAGTGGCTGGGTATATGACATACTGGGTGGGGGACAACTGGTTGGAGTTACACCAGGTGGAAAACATTATAACAAAAGGAGGAGAAGGCAACCAGGACATGTTTTGAATTTTAGGCATAATGATCCTGCAGTCCAGCAACAATTACATTGTTTGTATCCGTCCGGACAGGACGCTCTACCAGCAAAACTGTGGTGAAATCCTTCATCCAGTACTGAGGAGGTCACTTAAAAGAAAGAGTGTGTCCTTCAACCCTGCTTCTCCAGTTGGTGCAAGTTGGATACACTTGAGGAGGTCTGGGTGATGAACAGTAAACAGCAAGGGAATAATCTTGTTCATAATGTTAACCTCACACCTAAAAGTTGTGTTTTATCACATTTTCTTTTGTAACCCACATCTCTGATGGATGCCTCGTGTTCTTTGAGAGCCTGTCCAGCACAGTGGGTGGGTCTCAGCTGCCCAGAAGAAGGGTTTTGTCCTTCTGCCCCATCTCATCTCTCCTCATCTCACCTCTCTTCTTGCACCTTTATATAATGGTATGAAATATCCAAATACACTTTGGATGGCATATTTTCCTCGTTAAAACATCAACTACGTCTTTACATTTCATGTATACTTGCCATGCAGATGAAATGACACTTCGGAAACAAACACAAATGTTTGCAAACTGAACCAAATACATTTTCCTTTCAGTTAATCTGCTATTTTTACTTCCACTCATTGCCACCATCCCAAACTGTGGGACACTCCCCCTGGCACCTCTTCAGAAGCCCCATCATTACATCATGCTCACCACTACTGATGCAGGGTGATCTGCTGAGATTTCTGGGCATTTACTACATTTCAGATGTGCTTCCCTAAAACGGACATCTGCAGACCCTTAAGTTTTACCCATTTTTGCCAAGTACTTTACATATATTTCCAGTAACACAGTGGTTGCATCCTGACATTCAAAGCAGAGGTAAATGCTTTACTAACCACTAAGTATATAACAGTGCAATGAGCAACGAATACACTGATGACTCTTGTATTTCAAATCCAACAACAACAACCCCAACTGCTGTGGTCCTGCTGACCATATTCCTCAACAAAGTCCCGAGATGCTGACTGTAAGAAAAAGCAGACAAACCACAGTTATCACTCACTTGGATTCCTACCAGCCCCAGGATTACAGGACAGACATATTTTCACTCACTTCTGGAGACAAGCTGTAGCTGTAATTCTTGCCCTGACAGCAGCCCTCTATTTTTATTTATCTACTTTATTTTCTCCCTGTTTTCCACATGTATACACACTGTTCTTTATCAATCACATTTAACATATGTCCTCTTTGTTTTCAGTCTAAAAAGGGCAGAAGTTTAGTGTGCTGTCCTCATGAAATGCAGGCTGTAGCCAGCATGACACTTCACTTTAAGCCTCACTGAAACAAAACACTGTACAAACTGCTGAAAATAGACCTAGTGCCATAAGAATTGTAGGGATTGGAAGAGACCTCCAGAGATCACCGAGTCCAACCCCATAACCTGCAAGAATTGCAAAAAGAGAAAATGTGAGCTCAAATAATGCCTGATGTCTGGTGAAATCACAACAGATCACCCAATCAATGATGTCCAGCAGGATTCCATAGGATATCCTTTGTCCCAGGGCATGAAACCCTCTGTGGCATGGCCAGGACGGATGGGAGGCAGTCACAGGAAGCTCCCACCTTCTACATTTGCAGCACGTGGCAGTACCTATTTATGCTGTTTTGTTTTACATTCTTCTGATTCAAAGTCATAGCAGAAATACTGTATTTTAATACTGGCTGTGTAAACTCTTTCTTTGCATATGAAAGCCAGCAATTTTAATCATTTACAGGAGTAAGTGGTCTAAGTCACACTGGCACTTCAGCAAAAGCATGTGCAGGCTGAAAGGTCACTACCAGTGAGTGTGATTTCTCTATCTTTGTCACTTTCCAGAGTTGAATTCAAAAGCCACTAAAATTCACAGCCAAAAAGATCATAGAATCCTCTGAATTGGAAGAGACCTTTAAAGGGCCATCTAGTCCAACTCCCCTGCAACGAACAGAGACACTACAGATAGATCAGGTTGTCCAGAACCCTGTCCAACCTGATCTTGAATGTCCCAGGGAGTGGGCTTCCATCACATATCTCAGCACCCTTTCAATGCCTCACTACTCTTATGATAAAATCTTCTTCCTTATATCCAATCGAAATCTCCCTTCTTTTTATTTGAAGCCATTTCTCCTTGTCTTATCACCACAGACTCTGCTAAAAAGTCCGTCCCCTTCCTTCTTATAGCCCTACTGAAAGGCCTGTTTAAAGTCTCCCCACAGCCTTCTCTTCTCCAGGCTGAATAGCCCCAGCTCTCAGCCTGTCCTCAGAGGAGAGGCATTCCATCCCTTGGAACATTTCTGTGCCCTTCCTCTGGGTGTATTCCATCATTTGGATGGATTCCAACAGGTCTGCATCTGCCCTGTACTCAGGACATCACATTTGGACACCCCAGGTCATCTCATCACAGCTTCTGAGAGGTGCCTGCTTACATTCATTTTCTCTGCTGTTTTCTTTGCAACCTTTCCCTGGAAGACTCATTTGCAGGAAGGCGATGCACGAGCCATCCCACACATCGCATAACAGCTTGGAGAGAAACATCTCCACCCAAATCATGAGCTATCAGTAGTCCTCCAGAGCCTTCCAGAACTCACGACAGGTGGCTCATCTTAAGATTTCAATGTTGTTCTGGTCTCCTGGCAGTGTAACACCACCTGGCAAGAAAGGAGAATGGAAGATTAAGTTTATAAGTTTAGTTGGCAGCTCATTCCTTGTCATTGTGCAACTCAGCTCATGCTTAAACAGCGGAATTTTCCCGATTTAATGCATCTAGTTCATCTATCCTTTCACCCCAATGGCACCACGCTAAAACGTGCTTTGGAGCTCCGGCTTAGCTCCCCTTTATTAGAAACAGCTC